ATATATATAAAATATATATATATATATATATTATATTTTTCAATATTTTCTATCGAAAAGTTAATTATCGGCAATTTCTTTAATGTTGTCAAATCATTATTTACATTCGAAATGGACGTTTTTATCGCAAAATCTGGCCTTTGGGAAATAGCAAGAAATGTCTGGTTCTAATGCAAGTTACAACAACATGATACTGTGAGCACACGTCACGTATTTTTCTAAAAGTACCTTAGAAACAATTGTTATTCTTTTTGTCTTTATCGCCAATGGTAATTACACATACCTACATTGCTTTTATTGTTTTTATTGGCGCTAGATTCTCGTTGAAGATTCTCTTTAGCAGTAAAAAATCAATTAACTTTGCGTAATAAATGATTTCTTCTGCGACATTGGGTTTAAATCTGAAAATGTCGAATTGTTGCTTTTGATAAAAAAATTTTTTCTTAAAAATAATCACACTTTCTCTCTCTCTCTCTCTCTCTCTCTCTCTCTTTTTCTCTTCTCTATTTTAATTTAATAATTAAGTAAGTTAAAGTTTAAGAAAAAAGATATAAATATACAAGGTGACCAAAAACTCGTTATATAAAATACTCTAGCAAAAAGATCTCGGAAAATTAAATAAAAAAGTTATTTGTAAATTTTTATTTGAAGCAATAATTCTTTAGATAATAAGGATTTAAATATGGCCACGACATTACAGAATATGTTTAAATGGCCGTTTGTTTATAAGTCCATTTTGAAACAAATTGATTTTAAATACAAACGAAGAATCAACTTGTTTTAGAATGTGCAAACAAAAATCTATCGATTGGTGTCTCAATCTCGTTTTTTTTTAGAATTCGTGCCAAAAACGTACTTTTTGAAGTTATCCCTAACATTTATTTGTAAATAACTTTTGAACTGAAAGTGTACAAACAAAAAATTGACTTGTTTTGGAGTGTGCAAATGGAAATTTATCAATTCATGCTATTTTGAGTTTATAGTAATTGCGATTTGAACCTATTTATCTGAGTTGATTGTCCTCGAAACTTTAATTGTTAATATTTTTTTTACTAAAAATGTACACACAAAAAATCAACTTGCTTTAGAATGTGCAAATGGAAATCTATCAATTGAGACTATATAAATCTAATTTGCTCATTGGTTGCTATAGTTAGGGGGTTAGATAAAATCAGCCTTTTTATAAATTATTTTAAATAATCTTTTTACCAAAAGTGTAACAAAAAAAAATTCGAAGTGTGCATACAAGCAACATGTAAACGATGAACAATCGAATGGGCTGGAAAGTTAGCTTTTTTAAATGTTGTATAGCTAACACTTTACACGGGTCGCACTAATACTTATAGGTGACCATTTATCATAAATAAACGTAATTGGCCATATTTAAACCATTAGAGAGCTCAGAAAATATTGCTTAAAATAAAATTTATTAATAATTTTTTATTTTATTAGTAATTTTTTTTTT